AAGTTTTGATTTCGGTGTTTTTCGGTTCACCGAGGGTCATAAAGGTGTTTCTCACAGGAACCAATGCAAGTTTGGCTGAATTCGACCGAAAACGGCTGGAAACAGCCAACTCGAGGCGGATCACCGCCGCTCGTTGTCGGAGCACGACGGAGCCGCCGTGCCGGAATTTTGAAATTAGCTGAGTAGGCCCTGGGTCTTATTTTTGAGTTATTTGGGACATGTATAGGTACCATAAGCACGTTTTAGTTCCCGAAAAAAAAAATCAGGTAATCCAGGGACTGCCCGTATGCATAGTGAAAATTCAGTTTTTGACGTCGAATCAGGTAAGGACCCCTCACCCTATTTTCTATCACGGGATTAAAGTCTAATAAATGATAAAACTGTATTTTGTATAAATTAAGTAGATGTGCATAATTAATTTCAGTTGCTAATGGAGCCCGAACCAGACATATTTTTCTGTCAGTTCCTGTTGATTTATTTTACAGTATAGATGCATTATGGGATCTGTTTTATTTATTCTATGATTTTGAATGCATGAATCACTGTTTACTTCACTACTACTGAATTTTGTGAATCTAAGATATGTTTGCCTTGTTGGATGCTCGTTGCTTGATTAAGTATTCATGTTTGAATGGATAATGAAAAACTAAGAAAAAAATAGAAAAATGGTGTGAATTGATAAATGGATAAGTTGACAGCCTCACTAGATATCCTAGGAGATGGTGGACGGACCGGGTCCATAGGGAACCCTACTGGGAACGTTGTCTCATACCGGACAGAGTATGGAAACATTAAATGTTTTAGCGCTCATACCGGACGGAGTATGGGGACGACCCACTTCACCCTCATATCGGACGGGGTATTGAGGTTTATTATTTGGCGCCCATACCAGACGGGGTATGGGGACGGCCTTGGAAATTAAATTTGTTAAGGGAATGGTTCATGTGTAGTAGGGACCCCTATGGATCCCATAGATACTAGTAGGCTGATAAAAAGGGGATAACTGTTGTTTGAATTCATGATATCTATGATGTTATTATTTCCATGGGTCGTTTTTTATAAATCTCACTTAAGTAAG